AACGGATTAAACCTACAATCTTTTACTTCATACTCTGGCTCTGTGTTCATACACACTATCTTTCTTCTTCTTTACTCTGTCTGTGGTCCATACCACACTATCGAGGTGCACTCGGGGCACGTAGGTGTAGTAACAGAGATATCTGTACTCCTACGTCGCTGCCCGAAAAGCACGTTTCTGTCTAGTGCTAGTAGGTGGCACTGTACCAAACATCCGTATTCCGCACTGTTGAAGACTACCTGTTGGTCTTCAAATAGTGACCGGTCCGTGAGTGGATTGTCGATTGGCCTAGTGCAACTGATGATGCTTGGCGAGCTGAAACAGACTGTCTTGCACCAATTGACATTCCACTCACGGAACGGATTAAACCTACAATCTTTTACTTCATACTCTGGCTCTGTGTTCATACACACTATCTTTCTTCTTCTTTACTCTGTCTGTGGTCCATACCACACTATCGAGGTGCACTCGGGGCACGTAGGTGTAGTAACAGAGATATCTGTACTCCTACGTCGCTGCCCGAAAAGCACGTTTCTGTCTAGTGCTAGTAGGTGGCACTGTACCAAACATCCGTATTCCGCACTGTTGAAGCTGTTGGTCTTCAAATAGTGACCGGTCCGTGAGTGGATTGTCGATTGGCCTAGTGCAACTGATGATGCTTGGCGAGCTGAAACAGACTGTCTTGCACCAATTGACATTCCACTCACGGAACGGATTAAACCTACAATCTTTTACTTCATACTCTGGCTCTGTGTTCATACACACTATCTTTCTTCTTCTTTACTCTGTCTGTGGTCCATACCACACTATCGAGGTGCACTCGGGGCACGTAGGTGTAGTAACAGAGATATCTGTACTCCTACGTCGCTGCCCGAAAAGCACGTTTCTGTCTAGTGCTAGTAGGTGGCACTGTACCAAACATCCGTATTCCGCACTGTTGAAGACTACCTGTTGGTCTTCAAATAGTGACCGGTCCGTGAGTGGATTGTCGATTGGCCTAGTGCAACTGATGATGCTTGGCGAGCTGAAACAGACTGTCTTGCACCAATTGACATTCCACTCACGGAACGGATTAAACCTACAATCTTTTACTTCATACTCTGGCTCTGTGTTCATACACACTATCTTTCTTCTTCTTTACTCTGTCTGTGGTCCATACCACACTATCGAGGTGCACTCGGGGCACGTAGGTGTAGTAACAGAGATATCTGTACTCCTACGTCGCTGCCCGAAAAGCACGTTTCTGTCTAGTGCTAGTAGGTGGCACTGTACCAAACATCCGTATTCCGCACTGTTGAAGACTACCTGTTGGTCTTCAAATAGTGACCGGTCCGTGAGTGGATTGTCGATTGGCCTAGTGCAACTGATGATGCTTGGCGAGCTGAAACAGACTGTCTTGCACCAATTGACATTCCACTCACGGAACGGATTAAACCTACAATCTTTTACTTCATACTCTGGCTCTGTGTTCATACACACTATCTTTCTTCTTCTTTACTCTGTCTGTGGTCCATACCACACTATCGAGGTGCACTCGGGGCACGTAGGTGTAGTAACAGAGATATCTGTACTCCTACGTCGCTGCCCGAAAAGCACGTTTCTGTCTAGTGCTAGTAGGTGGCACTGTACCAAACATCCGTATTCCGCACTGTTGAAGACTACCTGTTGGTCTTCAAATAGTGACCGGTCCGTGAGTGGATTGTCGATTGGCCTAGTGCAACTGATGATGCTTGGCGAGCTGAAACAGACTGTCTTGCACCAATTGACATTCCACTCACGGAACGGATTAAACCTACAATCTTTTACTTCATACTCTGGCTCTGTGTTCATACACACTATCTTTCTTCTTCTTTACTCTGTCTGTGGTCCATACCACACTATCGAGGTGCACTCGGGGCACGTAGGTGTAGTAACAGAGATATCTGTACTCCTACGTCGCTGCCCGAAAAGCACGTTTCTGTCTAGTGCTAGTAGGTGGCACTGTACCAAACATCCGTATTCCGCACTGTTGAAGACTACCTGTTGGTCTTCAAATAGTGACCGGTCCGTGAGTGGATTGTCGATTGGCCTAGTGCAACTGATGATGCTTGGCGAGCTGAAACAGACTGTCTTGCACCAATTGACATTCCACTCACGGAACGGATTAAACCTACAATCTTTTACTTCATACTCTGGCTCTGTGTTCATACACACTATCTTTCTTCTTCTTTACTCTGTCTGTGGTCCATACCACACTATCGAGGTGCACTCGGGGCACGTAGGTGTAGTAACAGAGATATCTGTACTCCTACGTCGCTGCCCGAAAAGCACGTTTCTGTCTAGTGCTAGTAGGTGGCACTGTACCAAACATCCGTATTCCGCACTGTTGAAGACTACCTGTTGGTCTTCAAATAGTGACCGGTCCGTGAGTGGATTGTCGATTGGCCTAGTGCAACTGATGATGCTTGGCGAGCTGAAACAGACTGTCTTGCACCAATTGACATTCCACTCACGGAACGGATTAAACCTACAATCTTTTACTTCATACTCTGGCTCTGTGTTCATACACACTATCTTTCTTCTTCTTTACTCTGTCTGTGGTCCATACCACACTATCGAGGTGCACTCGGGGCACGTAGGTGTAGTAACAGAGATATCTGTACTCCTACGTCGCTGCCCGAAAAGCACGTTTCTGTCTAGTGCTAGTAGGTGGCACTGTACCAAACATCCGTATTCCGCACTGTTGAAGACTACCTGTTGGTCTTCAAATAGTGACCGGTCCGTGAGTGGATTGTCGATTGGCCTAGTGCAACTGATGATGCTTGGCGAGCTGAAACAGACTGTCTTGCACCAATTGACATTCCACTCACGGAACGGATTAAACCTACAATCTTTTACTTCATACTCTGGCTCTGTGTTCATACACACTATCTTTCTTCTTCTTTACTCTGTCTGTGGTCCATACCACACTATCGAGGTGCACTCGGGGCACGTAGGTGTAGTAACAGAGATATCTGTACTCCTACGTCGCTGCCCGAAAAGCACGTTTCTGTCTAGTGCTAGTAGGTGGCACTGTACCAAACATCCGTATTCCGCACTGTTGAAGACTACCTGTTGGTCTTCAAATAGTGACCGGTCCGTGAGTGGATTGTCGATTGGCCTAGTGCAACTGATGATGCTTGGCGAACTGAAACAGACTGTCTTGCACCAATTGACATTCCACTCACGGAACGGATTAAACCTACAATCTTTTACTTCATACTCTGGCTCTGTGTTCATACACACTATCTTTCTTCTTCTTTACTCTGTCTGTGGTCCATACCACACTATCGAGGTGCACTCGGGGCACGTAGGTGTAGTAACAGAGATATCTGTACTCCTACGTCGCTGCCCGAAAAGCACGTTTCTGTCTAGTGCTAGTAGGTGGCACTGTACCAAACATCCGTATTCCGCACTGTTGAAGACTACCTGTTGGTCTTCAAATAGTGACCGGTCCGTGAGTGGATTGTCGATTGGCCTAGTGCAACTGATGATGCTTGGCGAGCTGAAACAGACTGTCTTGCACCAATTGACATTCCACTCACGGAACGGATTAAACCTACAATCTTTTACTTCATACTCTGGCTCTGTGTTCATACACACTATCTTTCTTCTTCTTTACTCTGTCTGTGGTCCATACCACACTATCGAGGTGCACTCGGGGCACGTAGGTGTAGTAACAGAGATATCTGTACTCCTACGTCGCTGCCCGAAAAGCACGTTTCTGTCTAGTGCTAGTAGGTGGCACTGTACCAAACATCCGTATTCCGCACTGTTGAAGACTACCTGTTGGTCTTCAAATAGTGACCGGTCCGTGAGTGGATTGTCGATTGGCCTAGTGCAACTGATGATGCTTGGCGAGCTGAAACAGACTGTCTTGCACCAATTGACATTCCACTCACGGAACGGATTAAACCTACAATCTTTTACTTCATACTCTGGCTCTGTGTTCATACACACTATCTTTCTTCTTCTATATATATATATATATATATATATAGAAGGGAAGTCGTTGCTGACCAGTAGGAAGAAAACTAATGTATTGGGGAATGCAGCAAGTTAAAGAGTTTCGCTTTTACTTGCTGCATTCCCCAATACATTAGTTTTCTATATATATACATATATACTATATACCTTGTGTGAAGTTATACAGGGTCATCTAGGGGGAGATTTCATTTCAAAATCTCACAATAACTTAGTTTTGACAGCATGAACATGAAATATTGTTTCAGGTTTTCTGATATGAGGAATAAGAATTTGCAACTCATTTTCTGATTGCTCATAGAGAGCGCTGCTAGTGGCATTCTGTTAGGTACTTCGGTAAATTACTTCATATCTTCTTTGTCCATTCAATGATGTTGAATACATGTGGAAAATCTGAAAGGCGGTACAATTTTACATGAAAAATTTACTCTTTTTCAAATTGTCTAGCTCTAACGGTTTTGATGTTATTTGCTCTTGGAGTCCCAGTCCTAACATTCTAATAATTTTATTTATTCAATTAAGACTCGGAAATCTCTGAACTACAGATAATAAATACCAAATTATGAAGATTCCCCAACGTGCTTTTCAGAAATGTTGCAGATACTGTTCAAGGGAACATTTTCCTCGCCTTTGGTCGAAGATTTACTTCAAAATTCTGTTTGTTGTTGGCGTTATTCGTAATTGTCATCATTGATTATTTTCTTTTTTTCCAATATCACTTCGCCATCTTCATTTTTTATGTAAAATTGTAAAACAAGCTTCCTGATTTCATCATTGAACGGGCAAAGAATATATGATAAATTTACCTAAGTAACAGATAGTGCCACTAGCGCCCTCTACGAGCAATCATTACATAAGTTTCAAATTCGTATTCCTCATGTCTGAAAACCTTTAACTACAATCTTTCATGTTCATACTGTAAAAACTTACGCGAAGTTATTGAGAAATTTCAAAATATAGAATCTCCCCCTAGGGAACACATTTTCATCAGTCATATGTGTGGGCTAAATATCAATATTTTAGACGAAGAGTTAAAGAAAAGACGACTATACAATAAGGTAAATATATTTTCAGAATATTACAACAATGAAAATATATTATATAGATTCAATATAGATTTAATTGTACACACGGCAGCCGCTCTGGCAAAATACAAACATTATCACGGTTAATTTTTGAATATCGAACCTACATTAGGCACTTTTGCAAAATGATAATCTACTATATCTTCAGACACTTGCGGTAATGTAGGGGGATCCCACTTTGGTTTCTTATCTTTGTCTACCAAAAATGCTCTGACACCTGAAATATAAATAGTCATTAGAGATGGGGTGTATATAGTCAAAACCACCAAGTGAAATATCAATCTGAAATATCGACAAATATTTTAAAATCACGAGTAAAATCAAGAGTGAGACCGGAAATGCTTTGTTTCCAAGATACAGGGTGATGACAGTAGATACATTGTATCATATTTTAAGCTCAAGAGTCTATAGTTGAGTTGATTCATTTCCGAGAGAAACTATTACAGGGCCGCCAACATTGTTTAAAATAATGTACATTATAAAAGACAAGATCGAGTATGTACAATCAATCAAGGATCGGCTCTCTATTTCATTTTGTTCTATGAAGAAGGTTCATTTAAGCCAAGTGAGGATAGATTGTTAGAAAAAGTAGTATCCTTTCAAAGATATGATCCCTCCTCATGATTTTGTTAAGAGCGTTTCGTATCAACAAGTGTAATCCGAGCGCAATTGATAATACCGAAGGTAACTCGTGATCAATTGTCCGCATTCTCTGCGCTCAATCGTCCGTTGCCCAGATATTTAACTTTTCCATATCCCTTCTAATGATTTTCATCAGCCTTCCCTATTCCTAGGTCTAGCCTTTTTCGAAATATGTAGACTTTTTTTTATTTATTTTAAAAACATAACTTCCAGTTATATCTTATTATAATGAAATCTCGTTTCAAAAATAAATTTCAGCCACTGAATTCTACATAAACAGTTGAAAGCTGATATACATGCAATATTCCCAATTTCGCCTTGTATCTCAAAAACATAGTGGGCTGGGAATATTTTGTTTTGTTTCAGTATCTTTGGTTTCACAAAAACGTAGCTAACATTGGTGAAAAAATTAGATATTATGGGGTAGGTGGAAAGATATACGACTGGTTCACATTTTATCTTACTAATAGATCTCAATTGACCAAAGTGAATGGGAAAGTTTCGTCCAGTGAATGTATCAACACGGGTGTTCCTCAAGGTAGTGTTATAGGGCCATTTCTCTTTATACTCTACCTGAATATATCAATTTCATCGAAGATATTGAGTTAATTTTTGCAGATGATACTCTTGTTGCAGCAAGTGATGAAGATTCGGATATTGCTATAGGTAAAGTAAATAGGGCTCTGAATAAAATATCATAATTTCTGAATATAAATAAGTTGAAGCTCAATCACCAGAAAACTAAAGCTATGGTTATTACTTCTAAGTACCAACAAAGTCAAATTAATTATCAGGATATAAACAGGAATTTATGGTGACAGAATAGAAATTGTTAATGAAATTAAATATCTTGGCGTTATTGAAGACAATACATTAGACTTTGAGTCTCATTTTATGTACATTTACAAAAAAATCGTAAAAAGCTTTTCTTCTTCAGTCATCTGTCACTGTATACCGAACGATCATACAACTTCATTTTGATTATTGTGTGGGTTTGCTTTATGTATTGGATGGTAATGGTTAATCTTCTCTACCAAAATTGCAAAACCGCGGAATGAGAATTATACTTCAATGGATGACGCTGAAGAATAGGAATAAATATTTTTCCTTGATATTTATTTACAAAGTAGTACATTGTGATTTTCCAACGTACTTAAAAGATTTTATAACTTTCAATCATCAAATTCACAATCATGAAACAAAAGGTATATATGATTGTCATATCAATCGTACAAGATTGAAGGGGAATATGAATTCTTTATTCCACCAAGGTTTAGTTGATTATAATAAACTGCCCATGGAAATCAGATCGAGTACTACAATCCATGTTTCCAAAGAGAGACTCAAAAGTATCATTATGGTTTAGTCAATATGAATTATAATTGAGTATTTTGAATGGAGATTTGGGTCCTTCCAAGAAGGCATAGATATTCGTTATATTTTATGCAATATTTATTGTACTGTGTTAAATCATCATCTATGTTCCATATTTTTTGTATGTATTACTATTATTATTTATATTTGTATATTAGGTTTTCCTATTCAAATATATAAAGATTATTATTATGAAAACCGCAAATATCGATCTTAAAAAATAAGTGAGATATCCCGTAACCGCCCGTGAGGACATCAAAACACATTGTGAATTCCATCACCAAATCAGAGAGCCAATGTTAATATAATTCTCACCTTCGTAAAAATCTTTTCTGTTGTTCAAGAAATTCAAAACCAGGATGTACTCCATATCCAGGCAATCCTTCAAATTCATACTCTCGCCCATCTTGAGCTGCCTGAGCACCACTTTCAGACTAGTTGGGGACATCCTATTCAAACTCTTGATGGTTTCGTTAGCCCATTCTGATCCATCTTCAGTCAATTTTGCTGTTATCTCTTCCATACTAGCCGAGGAGAAATAATCGTCGATCTTAACCAAGAAAGGATCCAGAGAAAATGCCGGTACATCTTTCTCGGCAAACTGGTTCAACGTTTTCTGTATATCCTCATGGTTGGAGCATTTCATCAAAGCCTGTTCCAAATCGTTCAGATCGCTACTTCTGCAAAGGTGGGTGGCTATGCCAGCGCGGAGGACGTCTGATCCCTTCAATCTATGTCCGGTCAGAGCCAAGTAATATCCCAATTTTCCTCTCAGCCTGGGCAAGAAATGAGACCCGCCCACATCTTTGGAATAGAATAGAATTTATTCAATAGGATACATCCTAATATTAACAATTCCAATAGCATAACAACACACAGCATAACACTAACAGTTTCTTGATTAAATAATATAGAAAAATAATATCATAGCAAGTCTCTTTGTCTCAGGTACTCCTTAATACATTTTTTAAAGTTTCTTACAGTCTCAGATTCTTTTATGCTTTGAGGGAGAGAATTATATTCTTTCAGTCCTTCATAAAACATTGAGTTCGTACCCCTATTGGTAAGCATTCTGCTAAGGTGAAAATCATTACGAGATCTCGTTTGGTAATCATAAATTCCTGCACTCAAAATAACAAACTGATCTAGATGATCCGGCAATAAACCCTTCAATAGTTTGAAGATAAAAATCAATGCAAAAGTTGCCAGTCTTTCATTTACAGATTGCCATTGTAATGTTTCCAACATTTTACGAATAGAGGTACGCCTGGTCATTTCAAAATTATTCGCATTCCTCTGTTTTGAAGTTTCTGTAACTATGACCGAGAGTTATTATCTAATAAATACAGTATTGTAGCGCAGTAATCGAAATGTGGCCGGATAATAGTATTGTATACTGTTATTTCAGTTTGGATGGGCAACACTGATGCTATGTTGAAGTGTTCTTTAAATGACAGAGTTTCATCTAACATAACACCTAAGTATTTCAAGTTATGTACCTACAATTTCTATTTCTTCGCCTTCGATAACTAAACTAATATCATTTGTATTTATGAGTCTGTGCTTATACGGATTTGTTATGATCATAGCTTTTGTTTTTTGAACATTAAGTTTCAATTTATTTATTTTGAAATAGTTTTCTAACTTTGAGAATTCTATATTTATCCTATTCACCATGTGATTTAGTGAATCACCACTAATAGCTAATAGGGTATCATCATCTGCATACAAATTCGTAAAATCACAGTTTATGTTACAAGATAAATCATTCAAGTAGAGAATGAATAGGAGTGGGCCTATAATACTCCCCTGTGGTACACCAATATCAACTAGCTCTTCATTTGACAATGCATTATTTAGTTTTACAACTTGACTTCTACCTGTTAAGTAATCATTCAGCCAGTCTAAGACAACTCCCTCAAAGCCATAGTGTCTTAGTTTTGCTTTCAATGGTCTCAAATGCTCTTTTTAGATCTATAAACACTGTCACAATATATTCACCTTTATCAATTAAGTTAGTCCAGTTTGTTATCGTTAATTGCAGTGCTGTCTCACAGGAGTGTTTGCTGCGGAAGCCAGATTGGTATCCATGAAAGATATGGTCATTTACATAATTTATGATTTGATTGTATGCAGCAGTTTCTATTATTTATTCAATTGTGGGCAAAGTATTGATAGGTCTAAAATCACTAGCATTACTTGTATTCTTCACTTCTGGTATTGGTGTTATCGAAGATGTCTCAAGTTTTTGTGGGAAAATACCACTTTCAAGTAAAACATTTACCAGACGAAGCAAGTGAAAACCACAAGTGTCAAAAATATTTTTCAATATTTTTACATTCATAACATCATGCACATTTGCATTGTTTTTTAGATTTGATATTATGTCTTTCAATTCTTTCAGGCTTATTTTTTTTAAATTGCTAAGCTTAGAATTTATAACTGTGCCTGGCGGATTCCATTCAGAAATGTATGCGGTATAGATGTTTGTATCTCAACTAAACTAGAAATGAAATATTCATTAAATAATTGGGCAATACAGGGTGTCCCAGAAGTCATGGATCAAAGTGGGGTGGTAAGGGGAGATGGGAGGTAATTTGCAATCAAACGAACGGTATGTGTGGTTATATGTGGTTATCAAATTGTTGATAGTTCGTGAGTTATTCAATTTTTCTGACAAACGCGACCCATTTGGAAAAAATTAATAACAAGAGGGCTGTTTTGAATATCCCCATATGTTAAACCATTTCGGAATATTTATTGAATGGGCAACTCTTTCTTATAATTGTATCTTCCTGGGGTAGTTTTTTAATCTGCCAGCGGCATTTAAAAATCAACCCAAATATTTCATTCAATGAAAAAACTCAAGAAAAATAATATTTTTCTCAGGTAATTGATAAGAAGTAACACATGCCATAAAACTATTTCTGGGGAAAAGTGCATCATTGTGGATGAAATTTGTAAAAGAAAAAATCACAAATATGGCATAGTTTTGTTGTTATTAATTATTTTTATAGACGGTTAGTTTGATTAAAAATGACTTTCCCCCCTCTACCATCCCACTTCTTTTGATTCATGACTTATGGGACACCCTGTATACAGGACAAAAAGGCTTACTATCAAAACCACCTAAGTCCGAATTCTAGTAAATTTTAGGTTTGAACATTTTCACCATCTACTAAATTCAGCGCACCCATCAACAAATTATCGTAAGTCTATGTTTTTGGTACCGACATCTATTAGATATAATTTAAACATCCTAACTCTACTCAAGGATTTTGAATTCAAAAACTCGTAAGTCTGCAAGAGAGGATAGGGTTAAGTTTGGCTTGTTGAGAAAGTATAAAACTCTATTGTTCGATTCATTATTTGAACTGAAATCCATGTCAGACACCAAAAATAGTAAGTTTATGATGAACTATTTGGTCAATCTTCTAGAATATTTCTGCAGTGATGCGAAGGACAATTTTGTTTTGATCCTTCATGTGAACAGACTTACGAGGTTCTGATCTGTATGTTATCTATCTAGAAGAGGATGTAATGGATATTTGTATAATTTTATTCTGTTCATTCCAAATGAAGACATTGATTGAAATATTCCGGTTCATTATTGTTGAACCCATATTTCTCATTGTTATCAAAACTGCCGCTGATTTGCTACATGCACTGTGAAGCAAGGTCAAACTAAATGACAATTTTCACTAGTAATTGATCAAAACCAATTCAGTCTGAATAATGTTCAATTTATTTTTGTAAATACTTCGTATGTCGTTTATTTGAACATTGAGAATATAAATCTTCTCAGAGATTTCATTCATCAAGCAGGTACCTATACTACGGAAGCGTATTGGGGCCACCATGAACAATTTTTTATCTTGAAATTTCAACATAGCTAAGTCGAAATTTCAACATACTAAGTCGAAATTTCGACATATATATCTTGAAACTTCGACTTGGCTATGTTGAGATTTCAACTCACCTATGTTGAAATTTCGACCTAGCTAAGTTGAAATTTCAACTTACTAGCTTGAAATTTCAACATAGCTAAGTTGACATTTCAAGATATTAAGTTGAAATTTCAACATTCTAATTCGATAGACTTGCGACTAGGAAATTGAGAGCTAACCGAACAGTTTCTTGAGTGACCGATAATCCATTTCGAATGCATCCACTTGTTACCATGTAGTTGTCCATACTTTCCGATTCAATCGGTCAAAAAATCCAAGAGTTGTTCAAGTTGTGTATATTTTTTTCCACCATCATTAGCTATAAAACCATAAAACCTACCATTATTTACTCCTTTTCGAGGCGTGAATTGTGTTTTTCCTAATAAAATAGTAGATTTCGTCATTTTATTAACTACTGGTCAATAATGACATAGCCACCTTTGTTATATAATTAACCCGAATTCACTGTTCTGATGCGAGGTTCTCAATAATGGCCCTCGAATCTAGTAGGTATTTATCATTGTCATATGCTGTGTGTGGAATTGACGAGAAGTGTTTTCATAGTGACAATAGGTTTAATGTATTACTAGTGATGAAAAAAATTTGATATACACCTTGGTATAGTGAAGAATATTATTACCACGGGACCTTATAACCCTCGGCTGAGCCTCGGGATATAATCTTGGTCCCTGGGTAATAATGATATGCTTTACTACCTTGGTGTATAAATAACTATTCTTCTGTACAACTCCATTTTTCTGAGGCCCTTCTCAATGTTCTCCTGTTTGTATGGATTTTATGTCTCTCAGAAGGAAAAAGGAAAATTTCACTCTGGCTGAATTCGAGTAGAAAGTAGAATTTGATTAAATCATACATATTTGCTAAACATAACTCGTGTCGATCGTTTGTTTAGAGCATGTACAACCGTCGTACTGATCTCATCAGTTATACGTTTCAAATAGGTATCGAAGTTATGTCGGAATTTCGACATGATTATGTTGATATCTCGACTTAGCTATGTTGAAATTTCAACTTAGCTATGAAGAATTTTCAAGATAGTAAGTTGAAATTTCGACAAAGCTAAGCCGAAATTTCGACTTATCTATCTTGAAATTTCAACATAGCTAAGTTGAAATTTCAAGATAAAAAAATTTCGATGGTGGCCCAAATACGCTTCCGTACTTCCGTACTCCACGACCAGTTCATACCCAATGGAATTCGATATTTGCTAGAACACTCTGACATTTCACGCTTTTCGGATTCATGGAGAGTGAAGACATATTTTATTTTTTTCACCACTAGCTATGGAACCTACCATTATTTACTCCTTTTTGATGAATAAAGTGTGTTTTTACTACAAAGGTATAGTTTTCTTCATTTTATGAACCACTAGTCAAAAAAGACATAGCCATAATCATAACCAGAATTCACTGTTCTGATGATGATGAAATATATTGCTAGTGGTGAAAATAGTATATTACATAACAAGAGTTGTAAAACGCATATTACGCACGAAGTGGAGAGTTACACACGATGCCGCATAGCGGCGAGTGTGTAACTCCACAAGTGCTTGATTGCTTTACAACTCAAGAATTGTACTATACTTTTTCCTCGACTACACTTTTTTTTTTTTTTCGGATAGTGCAGATATTGTATTAAGCCAGCTGCATGAAGAGTTACAAATTACAATTCTTGTGTTTGCTTATTGATACATTGCATACCGAGACATTTTCCTCAATTCGAACTGAAATGGAGCCGTTTTTCATATTTAAACAGCTTTATTAATAGGTAGCGAAAAACACATTGTATAAAAATATAAAATTAACATTCATAATGGTTATTCATTTGTAACAGTGC